ATTGTACAGTGGCATAATGTGTACACAGAGGTGTACCTCTGCCTACCCCTTCGGGGATAAAAGGCGTGATGTTATGTTATGTTATTTAATATAATATTATTTCAAACAAATCACCTTATCCTTGATTATGAGCTGTTGTGACTCCAACGAGTCGATGACGTCCAGGATTCGATCCTGGATCCTCTGGCACGGTGCACAGATAATAAACTCATGGGATAGTACTTCACACAGTTGTAGTGATGCGCTGACTAGTTCTGATTGACGGAACTCTGTTGATGACGATGCACAGATCAAACTTTCCAGGGCCGTCGCTGTGGGAGAAAGAATAGCCTCTTTTAGGACATAGAATGTTTATTTATAATGAAATGGTTGTACGGTTTCATAACCACACATAGCACGTATAGTCGACGCAGCAATATTGAATGCGCGTCACCCAATGCATAGCATATATAATTTAACGTATTACAGTAATCGTAGTACTACTAGACGATTACTGTAATTACTGTAATTACAAATAAATAATAAATAAAAAAAATGTTAGCACTCTTTTAACATGAGATTGAACATGATAGTAGCGACTAAAGATTATTTGTCAATCAACAGGCTATGTTTTTTTGTTAAAATTTCTCAATTTCTACCTAGATAAATTGTCAAATTGTCTGACGATGGAAAAATTTGCTTGCTCTAAGATAATTTATAAGACAATACGCACCGACGATGGCAGGCGCGGCGTAGTGCGCTACGACAGTATTGGCGTAGTACGCCAGCTCTAGCTGTGCCGCGATACTAGTGCCGGGGCGGATTATATCACCTTCACGACGGATCAGGCCACGGCCTAGCATCTCCAACTGGAATTATACAACACACATTTTAAGATTTTCGACTTAATTACATTATAGTATTAAAGATTAAAATATTTTGTTTCACCTTGTATTTTTAATGTTTGAACTGAGCCAATATTCACATATCAATTATTTAATTTTATTGGAAAGCGTGTGAGTTAAATCTTAATTATAAGTGATGTTAGCCAAAAGGAAGCTAACATTCTCGTCACAGGGGACAGATATGCAAAAACATTTAAATTTTTCTTATTCCGAATTAATTTGGTAGTTCTTAACAAAAGCAAGTTGTAGCTTGCTTGTGAAATATAAAGAAGCAATGGACATAGGTTATTTATGATGATGATGAAAAATGAAGCTAATATTATCATTCTTCATTATTAACAGCCTGTGTAAGTCGACTAGGCATACTGGTGCTGGCGCACGGGAGGTCACACCAGGCGGCGGCCGACTTAATGGCGACAGCGGTTGCGACAGTCGTTGAGAGAATCCGGCAGTTGGGACTCGAGGTGGCGCTCCACAAGTCCGAGGCCATGTGTTTTCATGGCCGCGGGAACGCGCCACCTCCGGGTGGGTCCCAAATAACGGCGGGAGGAGTTACCATCGGCGTCGAGACGACGATGAAGTACCTAGGACTCGTCCTCGACAGTCGGTGGAACTTCATTGAACACTTCCGACGTTTGGCTCCAAAGTTGGCGAGGACGGGGGCTGCGTTTAAACGCATCCTCCCCAACCTCGGGGGGCCAAACGCCTCCTGCCGGAGGTTATACGCCGGGGTCGTGCGGTCCATGGCCCTCTACGGCGCCCCTGTTTGGGCGCCAAACCTGTTGCGGCGTCCCGCTCGGACGCTGCTCATGGCACAGAGGGTCATGGCGATCCGAATGATCCGCGGATACCGCACGATCTCTGGGGAGTCGGCGAACCTCCTTGCCGGATTACCGCCGTGGGATCTGGAGGCGAAGGTGCTCGCGCGCGTGTACAGCATGCGCGCGGAGGCACGTCGCCGGGGCGAAAC